CCACCCCTTGGCCACGAGGGGGGGAGCCCCCCAAACCCCCCGCAGTCTGTGCCCCCCCCTTCCCCGGGCCTGGCTCGTTTTGGGTTTTTTTAAATAAAAACGGAAAAATGAAATAAAATCAACACAAGATCTCGGGGTTTGGGGTTTTTGGAGGGGTCCCCCATTTCGGGGGGAGCTCCCGCCTTAGAGCCCCCCCAAAAGGGGTTGGGGTGGAATGGGGGGTTGCCCAAGGGGGGCATTTGGGGACCCCCAGTGAGGGGAGGGTGCTGCGCATGCGCTGACCCTCCCGTCCGACAGGGGGAGCCAGGCACCGCAGGGAGCCGCTCCTGTGCTGTCTCGCGCCCTCCTCTGCGCATGCGCCCTTCCGCAGCTGCAGCTGCCACACCTCCTACGGCGGCCGGCAGGGCCCAAAAGCCGCGCTCCATAAACAAGCCTCAAAAACGGTCTCAGCTCCCAAAAACAACCCCAAAAACAACGCCCGAACAGCTTCAGGACCCCCAAACTGCTCCAGAACAGCATCAGCTCCCCTAAACTGCCCCAAGCAGCCCCTGAAGAGCCTCAGCTCCCCCAGACAGCCCCAAACTGCTCCAGGACTGCCTCAGCACGCCCAAAATGCCCTCAAACATCCCCGAACACCCGCAGCTCCCCTAAACTGCCCCAAAGAGCCCCAGAAGCGGGTCAGTAACTGCCCCCAGACCAGCCCAAACTGCCCCAGAACAGCCTCAGACGCCGCTACAGCCACAAATGCCCCAACGCTCCCAATGTGTTTCGGGTCGCTCTGAAACATCCTCCGCCCGCAACGGCCCCTCCGACCCACAGGACCCCTAAACAGCTCCCAGCTGCCCCCGCATGCCCCCAAGGCCCCACACATGTTTGTGCAGGATCGCCCCACTCCGCGTTCCCCTACGGCGGCCGGACAGGCCCAAACGCCGCTCTGTGCACCCCCGCCCTACGGCGGCCGGCGGGGTCAAACTAGCTCCGCGTCGCTCTTTCCTACGGCGGCCGGAGAGGCCCAAGGTCCGTCTGCTGTGCGCGTGCGCAATGGCCGTTCCCTGGTGAAGATGGCGGCGTCCGTGTTCCCTCTTTCTGTAAGCGGTCAGCGCGGCCAAAAAGCCGCCGTACACTCTCCCCACCCCCCCACCCGCGTTTCTACAGCGGCCAAAGGAACCCAAAGCCCCTCCTTGTCCTCTCTTCGGCTCTCCCCTCTCTACAGCAGCTGCTGAGGCACGTAACGGCGTCCTGTCATCTCGCGCATGCGTAATAACGCCTCTCAAGATGAAGATGGCGGCGCCCACGGCTTGAGTCCACAACACTGCGCATCGCGCATGCGTATTACGCGTCCCGGTGGAAGATGGCGGCGTCCACCTCTCCAGTCCACAACACTTGCTTGGGCGCATGCGCATTACCCCCACAGGGGCGAACATGGCGGCTCCTATCTCGCCCTCTCTCCCTACGGCAGCCGGGGAGACCCAGAATCCATAACACCGCGCTGCGCGCATGCGCATAACCCTCTCCAGAGGGAAGATGGCGGCGCCCTCCGCTCCCTCCCTCCGTACGGCGGCCGGCGGGGGCTCCAAGCCCCGCCCCTCACGGACCCCGCGCATGCGCGACGCGGGGGGGGAAGATGGCGGCGTCCTCGCTGGAGCAGAAGCTGTCGCGGCTGGAGGCGAAGCTGAAGCAGGAGAACCGCGAGGCGCGGCGGAGGATCGACCTCAACCTCGACATCGGCCCCGCCCGCGCCCGCCCCAGTGAGGTGTCCGGGGCAAATTTGGGGTGTCCGGGGCAGGTTTGGGGTGTCTGGGGCAAATTTGGGGTGTTTGGGGCAAATTTGGGGTATCCGGGGCACGTTTGGGGTGTCCGGGGCAAATTTGGGGTGTCCGGGGCAGGTTTGAGGCAAATTTGGGGTGTCTGAGGCAGCTTTGGGGTATTTGGGGAAGGTTTGGGGCAAATTTGGGGCATTCGGGGCAAATTTGGGGTGTCCGGGGCAGGTTTGGGGCATTTGGGGCAGTTTAGGAACATTTCGGGGCAAATTTGGGGTGTCTGGGCTTCGGGGCAAATTTGGGGCATTCGGGGCAAATTTGGGGTGTCTGGGGTGTTTGAGGCAGTTTTGGAGTGTTTGGGACAAATTTGGGCTATTTGGGGCAGTTTAGGAACGTTTTGGGGCAGTTTTGGGATGTCTGGGGTGTTTGGGGCAGTTTAGGGACATTTTGGGGCAATTCTGGGTTGTTTGGGGTGCTCGGGGGATTTTTGGGCGTTTAGGAACATTTTGGGGTTGTTTTGGGGCAGTTTGGAGACATTCTGTGGCAGTTTTGGGGTGGTTTAGGGACACTTTGGGGGATTTGGGGCACTTCAGGGCCATTTTGGGGTTGTTTGGGGCTGCTCTGTGGGGGACCCGAGGCGGTTTTAGGGACAATTTGGGGGCATTTAGGAACGTTTTGAGGTGTTTGGGGCAATTTAGGGTCATTTTAGGGCAGTTTGAGGCTGCTTTGGGGTATTTGGGGTCATTTTTGGGGTGCTTGGGGCACTTCAGGGACATTTTGGGGTGGTTTGGGAACATTTTTGGGCCCTTTTTGAGGTATTTGGGGCACTTTGGGGACATTTTGGGGCAGTTTCGGGGTATTTCAGGGCAGTCCTGTGGGAGGTTTGGGGGGGTTTTTGGGGTTTTGGGGGGCTGGAAAGAGATTTTTGGGCGTTTTGGGGGGCTCTGAGGGGGCTGGGAAGGGATTTTTGGGGTCCCCCCCGGTGTCACCTCGAGGATCCCCTGCAGGACCCCCCAGGGACCATGCCCAGGACATTTTTGGGATTTTTTTGGCATTTCCAGCCCGGGGGGAGCAGCCCCTCCCCCTCCCCCCTTTCAAATTTGTGCTCATTTTTATCCCCCCGATTTAAATCGATCCCCCCAAATTCCGATTTCCCCCCAAATTCCAAATTTCCCCCAAATTCATTCCTGTCCCCCCCCAATTTAATGGGAATTTCCCAATTTAAATTCATTTCTTTGCCCCAAAATTTTATTTTTCCCTCTGAGTTTCCCTCCTGCCCTTCCCAGTCTCGTTTCTGTCCCTTCCCCAATTTAATTTCATTCAATTTTCATTTAAATTTGATTTAAATTTCTGTCCCCCCCCCAATTTAAACTCATTTTTGTCCCTCCCATTTCATTCCTGTCCCTCCAACTTCAGCTCAGTTTCATTTTCCTCCCAATTTAAATTCATTTCTAATTAATGATTCTGCTCCCCCTGATTAAAGCTCCTCCCCCACTTTAATTAATTCCCCAATTTAAATCCATTTCTGTTCCTCTCCATTTCAATTCTTTTTTTCCAGTTAAAGTACATTTACATTTCTGCCCCCAATTTAAATTAATTCCTGCCCTTCTTTTAAATTAATTTCCCCACAATTTAAATTAATTTCTGTGTAAATTTCAGCTTAAATTTATTTCTCCCAATTGAAATTAATTTTTTCTCTCCAATTTAAATTCGTTTTTGCCCCCAATTTAAGTTTATTCCCCCCAATTAAAATTCATTTTTACCCCAAATTTAAATTATTTTCTCCGATTTAAATCCATTTTGCCTCCTAGTTTAAATTATTTCCCCCAATTTAAATTCATTTCTCCCCCAATTTATTTCCCCCAATTTCAATTAATTTCTGACCCTCAATTTCAATTAATTCACCCGACTTAAATTACTTTCCACCCCTAATTTAAGTTCATTTTCCCCAATTTAAATTAATTTCTGTCTCGCACTTTCAATTAATTCCTGCAATTTCAATTAATTTTCTCTCCCAATTTAACTTCATTTGCCTAATTTAAATAATTTCTGCCCCAAATTTCATTAACTCACCCCCCCATCCTTCCCTTTTTAATTTTTTCTCTTTTTCTTTCTTTTTTATTCATTTATTTCCCCCAATTTCAATTAATTTCTGACCCCCAATTTCAATTAATTCACCCGACTTAAATTACTTTCCACCCCTAATTTAAGTTCATTTTCCCCAATTTAAATTAATTTCTGTTTCCCACTTTCAATTAATTCCTGCGATTTCAATTAATTTTCTCTCCCAATTTAAGTTCATTTGCCTAATTTAAATAATTTCTGCCCCAAATTTCATTAACTCACCCCCCCATCCTTCCCTTTTTAATTTTTTCTCTTTTTCTTTCTTTTTATTCTTTTTTTTATTTTTTTTTATTATTTTCCCCCCGTTTTTTATTTTCCCCCCGTGCCCCTCCCCCATCTCCAGTCATCGTCATCACCCTTAGCCCCGCCCCCGCTCCGTCCCAGCGAGCAGGTACCTCCCCTCCCCCTCCCCAAACTGGGGACCCCTCCCCACTTTAACCCCTCCCCGTGCCTCAGTTTCCCCCTCGTGGCAGCTTTACCCCTCCCCAATTTGGGGATCCCTCCCCATTTAACCCCTCC